TTTTTTTTTTTTTTTTTTTTTTTTTTTTTTTGTCAATTAAAACCTTCCAGTGGTTTTGTTTTTTGTTTTTTGTTTTTTTTGTTTTTTGTTTTTTTTGTTTTTTGTTTTTGTTTTTTGTTGCTTTTTTTTGATATCAGAAAAAAAAAGGAGGAACGAAGCTAATGGACAGCAATTTTTTTTTCTTAATGGTATTACAACTGTTAGTTTTTGCTGTCAAAAATTTTATAACTTCATTTGAACTTTTGGTAACCCAATTTATGCTACTTTTTTTTCTTCTTCTCTTCTAATAATTCATCAAAACATAATTTGTGTTCGTTTATTTAGGCAAAAAAAAAAAGAGGTTGACAGGAGAAAAATGTGCACAAAAAAAAGTAGTAGCTTAAGTATAGTAAACTGAATGAGAGAGGAAGGAAAAAATGGTGGAGGAGATTGGGAGAAAAAACTGCAGCAGTTCTGGTTCCCAAATTTTTTCATGGTAAACTACAGCTCATGCATTTTAAGTGATGACCTGTTTTTAGAATTTACCATCACTTCCTCTCTCTCTCCTTTGAAGAAAAAAAGATTTCCGGTACCCAGTTTCTTACTTTTTTCTTTTTTGTTTGTTTTGTTAGATATAAAAAACATTTACAACATTTATGCACTCATTGTATAAAAGCAGCTTAAAAACTCTGGTCAATTCAATGGAAGTTTTAAACGAATTGCTCAATTATTTACTTCTTTCCTTTCATCAAAAAAAAAAAAAAAAAAATTGCTTTTTTTGCAGTTACATGATTTTTTTAAATGTTTTTTCTTGTTTGCTGTAACTTCATCAGTTTTTTTTGTTGTCCGTTTAGGAGGCCAAAAAATTGATTGATGATACAGACGCTCAACGAAATGATTTGGAAAACCAGATCAGGAAAATGCAAGAAGAGATTGCGGAGTACAAGAAAAAGTTAGCTGTCTAAAACCGCTTCTGTACTGCTGTATCGGCTTAGTGTTTTCTTTTGTTAGCAATGGGAACAATATTTGTTGGACCACTGTCATTTGTCTGTCCCCCCTCCCGTATACCCATTCCCCGTCCTCAGATTCTCGTCCTCGACCAATTACGGTTGCCCAACAGTAACGCGCAAGATTGTTCATCAATTTTTAAAACCTATGAACAAATTTGAATAAAAAACTAACGAAAAACAAAAAAAAAATTAAAATTAATGAAAAAAAAAACCAGCCACTTAAAGATCGTGCTTTCAATACAAAAAAAAAAAA